GAACGCCATGAACAAATATTGTTTTCTTGCTATCCCTATTAGCACTGCCGCGTTACTCAACTGCTTCTTTGGGGCGATCTTTCTAAGGTAGATCAGGTAATATGCTCACTCCGCTCGGTGAGTTGCGAAGACGAACTGCTGAGAGCAGGACAGCCTCTGTCTCATCTGCTGAGTCTAGTGTTACGCGAAGAATTCGAGGTTCACCAGAGTGCACTGAGGTCGGGTGACGCGCTACGCGTTGCAGCATTGCAGGCTCAACCCGAATGTCAATCGCCTCGCAGATGGAACTCCACTGGTTGCGATCGTCTTGCAACTTGCCTTTTATTGTGCCAGATTTGGATTCGGGAACATTGGTGCAGCGTGGTTTTGTCTATCGAGTGTTGGCTTTATACTTGTTGCCGGCAATTCGGGTTGTTTAGAGGGCACCACTGGAGTTGACGGTGAAAGCTGCTTTGCGCCACGCGTGCTCGGTACTGAAGATGGACCTATGTGTGTCCCTCCCGGTGTGTTTGTCGAGGCAATCGATGCGTACGTTACCTGCTTGTTATCTGCACCGGATTTCCTACTGCTCTGAGCTGTCGGTGTCATGGCTGAATCTCCAAGTGAAGCGTCTTTGGTTGGAGAAGTGGAAGCAGGCATGTTTGAGGCTTGTTCACTTATGGGAGTGAGGTGACCCAGTGGATTTAGAGTCACAGATGCTGCAGTGCGGTTGGAGCGTCTAGCTCCTTTCTTCGGTTTAGACTCAGAGCTTACTTTGGCTGGGTGAGCTATTATCGTGGCCATATTTACGTCCGAGGGAGCGATCTTAGTATTTACAAAATGCGCGATTATTTCAGTCATCCTTTCGCATTTTTTCATGAGCAAAGATAAACAGTTGACAATTGGAATGACTTGACATGTTGGGCAAAACCAGATTGTGTCAGCAACTTGGTTTGTCTGTCTCACTTCTTGGACGGATTTGCCTGCACATTGCGGACAGTACGATCTAATGCAGCTAGAACAGGTAACACTGATCTTAAGCACTTAACTGCAATAGTCTGCTCAACGTAGGCGACGTTGAACCATTGGAATGCTAGTCGTCCTCCTATAGTTTACAGCAAAGCCTATCTAAGTGCTCACCTTGATGAGTGTTCTTTGCGCTAGGGGTGACGCACGAATAGGTCAGAACACGCACACGAATTGAGAGTTGTTCAACCGCACCAAGGTCAGGCGGAGAGGCAGTTGGAGGTCGCAACGCGAAGACTGTCGGATTCAACGATCAATAGACTCGCAGTTGAACACACACACACACACACAAAGCGGCAGCGTGTGTTAATCGGCCTGCCTTAAGCGACGATGCAGGTGGAGCGCTGATAAGCATCCTTAGAGCTGCTCAGCTGATGAGCGGAGCAAAAAGGCTGTAACTTTGTTATGCTGCAACTTGCAGGGATGGTTGCCGCGTAGTTTGGGAGCCCTCAGCTTCTTGTTCCGAATGAGACCAAAATCTTTTCCGAAAAACCGGTTTGATGTAGTTACACAAGTGGAATTCGGCAAAGAATATGCCGAAAACTGGGAGCTGGAGCAAGAGTGTAATCCACACAAGTTAGATCCAGGAGTTGTGGAGCACTGAGTAGAGCTCGTCGAACTGGTTCGAACGAGCGCACGCACAATATTTTGTGGGGAGAATTAGAGTGGCCACAGAGGGCAAAGCGAGAGCGGAGTTAAAGTGCGGCTGCACGAGAACTTGCCTATTTGGCTAATCCCAAATTACTGTCTGTTATGCACAATTTCTTTGCTGACCAATTTTGAATTGTTTTTTCTTGGCTTATTCTCCCTTACATGCGACACAACATGCGTCTGCTCTGTAAGTTGTCGTGCTAACGTTTACTGCTTTCTCATTTCATCCTTCCACGTCTTTTGTAGCTCATCGAATATAGTCCGCGGTGTATGACTTCAATTACCTTCTGATATCCGCTCTTGTTTACTCGCATCTTCTCGGACTAGCACTTACTAGTCCTACAGTATACGTCACTGTTTGTGAATGTGGGTGTATCTGGAGGCGGTTTCTTGAAAAGCATTTTATTCGGTAGAGTTTATTCTTTAGGTCACCCACATTACTCATTAACTGAAAAAGTTTGAAATGGAAAGTCATGGGGAGCGCCGTTCCGGTAGGAAAGGAATGAACATCCGGATGATCGTAATAAAGAAATTAGCTTTGTGACCATGTTCAAAATCCACCGTTCTTCCTGTGGTAGTTACTGGCTGTTGTCCGTCGCAGCCTGTCGATTTTTAGTAGCTCTGCTGTTGCGCAACTCCCTTTGAGCACCTGATAAAAAGCAGTAACACTGTGCGTCCTTTAGCTGAACAGAGAACCTCGGCAATAGATATCAGTTGTCTGCGGAATCATCGTGAATAGCGTACAGGCAATGAATAGATCACTTTGAAATCGTTCTCTGATGCTGCATGGCCATATTCAAGGAAGTGTGACGGAATCGAGCTGTTAGAAGACTTCGTTGCACCTCTGTTGTACCACTTTGGTATACGCTCGCGGACCCCCTGGGATAAAGGCCTCGACATGTGACCGATTTCTGCACCTAATCCATTATGTAAACGTAAGGCTCTTCATTCACAATTCGACTTCTGGTTTTGTTTATGAGCAATGAAATGGGAGTATTTGATCTGCTAATGGTTAACATACTCCGTGATACGCGCAGACTTCTGAATGAGTACCTGAAGTTCATTGATCGGTTGGAAGAGACCAATGTTGAACTGAATTTCCTCAACGAATGTTTACAGTCATACCGTTATCCCAAACACTTTGGAAAGAAATATGACAATTCGGCCTCCATCCCAGTGTAAAATCTTTGAGGAGACACAGTTATATCAATACCGTTCGCGTGAAACTGTCGGAAATAGAGAGATTTGTCTCGCAACGGATGCCTGCAGTTACAGGTATTCCTGATGAATTAAGAAAGCCTTTTTAGGATTGCTTGAAGATGGTTATGTTAAAAATGGGTGTGAGAAAAGAAAAGAAGATACTTAGCTCGTTGTGCTATCAGGTACCACAAGTAACCTTCTCGGTGAACCGTGAACGGTATATGGTTAACCTCACTAATGTCATATTCAACCCATCACAGCTAAGTGTTATCCTTAGACCCCAACAGTTTTATCCCATGTAGAAGAACTAAACAGGCGGCTTTAGCAGTGCACTTTGAGAGCCTAATGGCTAAAATGCGAGACTTAGTTCCAACTTCGTCTAGTAATGTCGGGACTTTGATATCTACTCTAGTGTATAGGTAACGGTAGGCTCTGCAGAAACCCACTCAACCAGAGAGTCGACGTGACTTTCTCCCAGTGCTCTGCGACGAACTCCCCCGTGCTGTCCCACCGTTTCCGTCGATTCGTACGCCCGGATCCAGTTGCGGCAAGATTTCACGTTCACTTTCAGTATGCAAGCGACCTGATTCCAATCGTCCCCTTCCTCATACGCTTTCAGTACGACGTTCTTCACCTCCCTCGAGTGCCGAACATACGAGCCAACCATTGCGTTTAGGTGAACTGTACATTCAAAAGCATACGGCAAACTTATTTGGCTGTGGCTCGTTATACCAAACCAATCGTCATTCAAATCCTTACTCTCGTTCTAATTGGTGGGAATCGCTTCCTAGGACAGCGAAAGCAAGGCCAACCTGATGTATCGGCCAGAGACACTGTCCCTGGTAGTAGCTGAAGCGTCCCACACACACCCCTATGACTTAGTGCGTCTGAGGTCCAATTGGCTGAAGGCGACGGGCTATACACGCACACCTGCACAAGTGAGTGGGGTACGCACGGAACAAATTAATTGAGTAGACTCATGTTGAATGCCCCCTCAGATTATTCCTGTTGCCCAAGTGGACAACTTGTCCGGGAAATGGTATAGATTGAGATTGCGCGTCGCAATCCAATCACACATTATGTAGTCCAACTTGACCCACCAATCACAGTCATGTGTTTTTGAATGCACAGCGGCGGTCGCTTGCGATCGATAACGACAGCCTCCAATAGCCTAAGCATGTGAGGCCGTCGATCGCTTAGTAGGACAGTGAATGACTCGTCAAGGTTGACTCGGTTCCCGGTGGTAACTGTTTTGCGAATGCCGAGGCAGCTCGGCTTCCCGATTCAAACGATTCCGTCGTTACGGACATCATTGGGCTGCGTAACCAGTTGGGGATGTGTTTACTGACTCTGATACCTAGACTTGGATTAGTGCGCAAGATTGAGTTATGTGTGGTACGTTTACACCCAGCTTCTGTCACTTCGCGTATCCCAGAAACCCAACATGGTCCTCAATTTCTTTTGTGAATGTTGCTCTCGCAATTACATTCCTCTGTTTCACTGTTGAATGGTTCCAGCGGTGAAACACAACTGTAACTCAAAACATTCCATATTGCCTGAAAAGCGGAAAGAATATATCTTTTTGACCACCGAACCGCTTTTTATCCGCAGCACGTTGCTGGTGTTCGCATGTCACTAAACAGTGGTAAGCATGTTAACACACACGACCGCAATCGTTTTCAAACGGTCCTTGAAGTGATTGCCCCCGTTAGTCAACATAATGAAAAGTCGAACAGTCGGTTGGAAGTGTTGAAGGTACTAAGTAATTCTTGTTATTATATGTGGCCATTTCCACTAATTGTTTGTGCATACAATGAAAGCATCTCAAGCCAAGTCAAAAACTGCTTCATACACCTTTGCTTTTTGAGTCAACTAACTCCAGAGTTGACATGCCGATTCTGGATATAAGACACGGATACAAAGTTTCGGGAACATTACCATGCAGAATCAGAACGCTGTTCTGGCAAATCATGCCGTACGCGTTGCCTGCATTTCAAACATAACTAAAATGAATTAGCCACATGCTGAGAACATTTCACCTTAGTCGCTCAATACCATTCATTTTCTGCCGTCTTTAGCATGCACATTGTTTTTATGCTACACTCTTTTCAATTACCTTTAAGAAAAGCGGTAAAACACCGCTGATGGAGATTTGTGCTTCCGGTGGTGTTAACGCTCTGCGTCATGCAGTGAATATGGGTGGAAACTTGAATATCGTGGACTGCATGGGACGGACCGTCGTGCATGAAGCCGCTCGTAACGGACAACTCCACGTGCTAGTGGCACTGTCCGGGTTCGGAATCCCCTTTGACGTGGTAGGTTGAAATACAAGTATTTTACCTACGGCCTATTAACAGTGTTCGGAAATCTGCGGTTCTGTTACAAAACGCGCAAATGTACTTCAGTGAGATCCGTTTGGGTTCTTCCTTATTATTTGTAAGAGATTCTTGGTGCTACACATTCATGGGATAGTGGATTACGTTGGGCTTTGTCAAATCATGTTGATCCAAGTGTGGGCTGGTTCGTTCACCTCGCCGTGAACTCTTTTTGTTCGGAGCATCGCGAGTATTCATTCCAGCAATGACAATAACAAGTGCAGTTGGCCAGAATTGGTCCCGCTGGCATTGAACATTGAGGATCTCGTCGCTTTTGTCAATTTCAAAGGCTCTAAAGATGCCCAGATAAGGACAAATGTGCCAAAGAACTCTATAGTATCTGTTTACATTCAAAGCATACGTATATAATATATATATTGTTGATGAAATGAAAGATTTGAACCTGATGATGCAATCTTCTGTCAAACTGTGAACCTTGCGACAGATGTGAGCTGTCATACTGATTTTGGATATTATCCGTTGAATCCACCTATCTCGGTTAACGCCTTACTGAGACCTTGCTGTACAATACAGATTGCTTCTGTCACCGCTCTCCATAAGCTTACTCTGTAGGATCAAAAGTAAACGGACAACGACGAGGGGTCTCTTCGTTCAGTTCAAGGCACTCAAACTGTGCGTTCACTATGGAGGACAGGTGCTACGGTATCCATCATAATTTGTAGGCACGGGCAACTATTCGTATGATGGAAATTTTGATTCTACCTGGCCGGATATACGATTGCGCACGATTCGAGATACTCGTTAGCTTTCGTCGCATCAGCTTGAGTCGCTTTTACTTCAAGCGAATTTCTAAACATGGACTTCGAGAAACAGCGTGTTTGCTACACACTAATCGAATCTAGTCTGACAGTTCGTTTTTGTCCCTCATATATTCCATCGGCAACCGTTTGGTCTGCATTTTGTGACTCTTAATTCGAAGTGTAATGGCCTTCACAACCCTATGTGTACTGTGATTTGGGATGAACATTGCTTTGTTTTAGTTTGCCTACTCTTGAGCAGCACAACTTAATTAATACGAGTTATAGCCGAAATCCTTAGACTCTGAGGTGATCTAGTGCCAGTGCGGTACAAAATATTGATACGGTGTCATGCATTTGAACCCTGGCTATTGCTAGTGGAACATAGCTTTCATACATGACCAGTTAGCTTGCGTTGCCATTCGCCAATTGAGTGCAAAACCTGATGTATACACCCTGATTATACTCTCATCACTTTGCTTCAAGGAGGCCTACTTAATCCTCATAGCGTTTTGTGCCGAAGGTTGCGTTTAGCGTTAGATCTGTATTCGTATTTTGATCTACTTGTTGTACAGCTCATGTTATTTCGCAACGGTGCTGTAACACTAGTCTGTCTATAGTGACGTTGCGTTGCAGCGCGGAGGAATTTACCGGCCCAGTAGTATACAGGCGGATTTATTCACAGCACTGGGTCACTCGGGACCCGAGCGTACGAATCAGAGAAAATGTCACTGCTCTATTAAGGTCGTCATTCTCCTGTCTTTCTGTGTGGACACACATGTACTGCTGCACTTTTAAGGAGCTAAAGGAGGCCATCCAGGACCTCAAAAGCATGCAAGCGGCCGGTGAACAAGCTCTCCGGTTAGTGGGTTTTCATGTGGTCAGCCGGCGGTCCCTTTCCGCCCTACCAGTGCCTGTACTGGTAGCGCACGACCCGAATCTGGACCTAACGAATACTTTCAAATAGTGCTAAGCAATGTGCGCAGCCTAAGGCATAAGGTGTACGAGTTAGGTCTGCGTGTAGATGGGTCTCATCCCGATATACTCGCATTCACTGAAACGCGGCTGTCTCAGGACATCACGGATGGTGAAGTACATCCATCTGGCTACGCGCCATGTAGATGCGATCGCTCCGTTGGCCGTTGCTCTTTACGTGAGCTGTAAACTTGACGTTTTGAAGACTTGCTTATTTCGGTCGACAGACAAAACTGTCGAAGCTCTGTCGGCTGTGAGTAACACATGCTCGGCTCAGGTTACAGTTGTAATTGTGTATAGAAGCCCTGGGAGCGTATCCAAAGAGCTACTTGACTTTATTCGCTTCCATTCCGCAAACAGGTGTTTGATGATGGACGACTTCAACCTCCTGGAGGTTTGCTGGGCAGATTTTTCTTGCAGCTAGGGGTCAGGCGCATTCAACGCTGATCTACTTGAGCTTACGATCCAAGTACCGTAGCATCAGTTCCTTGACCTCCCCACTAGGTACATGGACGCCCAGATACCGTCTATCTTAAACCTTGTGTTTACTAAGTCACTCGATTTTGTTGGTGACATTACTTACGGACCTCCGCCGGGTTCCAGTGATCATGTTTCTTTGCTCTTCAGTTGTACTCTGTCTAGACGCTACCAGAGTACCGTTGAGTCACGCAGACTACCAATCAGTAAGAGCCAAGACTTCGGGTTTCCATCGTGAGATCTCAGGCGATGATGCTATCCAGATTGCCTAGGATAGATTTAAGTCCTACCTCACAGAGGTCTCTGCTCTCTTCATCCCAGTCACAAGGAGAAAGAAGGCACCAGCACAGCCGGCCTGGATTCCACATTTGCTCACAAAGCAGTCTAAATGTTGGCGGACTTATTGAGATGCTCCATCCACCGATACTTATGACAGGTACCGTAAGGCTAGAAATAGGTGTAAGCAACACCTAAGGAATGCTCGGCTCAATTTCGAGGAAGGTTTAACAGCCGAAGCTTCAGGGAATCGAAAAAGATTCTTCGCGCATGTCAAAAGGCGCTGCGGTTCGAGCACGTCAATTCCAATATTGATGCGTAATGACGGTACTCATACTCATACGGACAATGACAAGGCCTGCGTACGTAGGCAATATGCAACAGCATTTGTAAGAGAAACCTCTTTGACAGGCGTTGAGCTGGTTTGCAGGATCCCAGAGGGTTCAAGTCTGTCTGAAATTATTGTAGCGGAGACGGAAGTTTCTTAGGCTATTTCAAGAGCTGAACCCTTCTGGGCCTGATTTAATTCACCCGAAACTGTTGCATGAGTTGGCTGCTAAATTAAATGGACCGCTCGCTATCGTGTTTCAGAAATCGCTTGACAGCCGTACATTAGCTTCCGAATGGAAGGAACCTGTCATCTGTCCCATCACCAAAAATGGGGACAGGAGTCTGCCTGCAAATTACAGGCCAGTTAGTCTGACCAGTGTGGTGGTCAAACTCCTCGAGAAACTGGTGATTCATTGGAGAGTCATCTGAGTAGCATTAGTCTACTTAGCAATGTACAACAAGGATTCCGGATGGAATTTTCGTGTCTGACGAATCTATTGGTGACTCGTGAAAGTTGGGCGGATGCAGTGGATAACGGCCACGCACTGGACGTGCTTTCCATCGACTTTTCGAAGGAATTTGAGAAAGTACCCCATTTGAGGCTCGCGCAAAAGGTGACCTTTTGCGGGGTATCTGACTACGCCCTTCATTGGGTGACTGTCTTCTTAGATAGTGGAGAATAGTGTGTACGGGTAGGCCGTGGCCTATCGTTTAGGCAATCTATCCTCAGTGGCATGCCGCAGAGCTCGGTCTTTAGACCGCTGCTGTTCTCTATCTATGTAAATGACCTACTCGCGGAGCTTGAGGTACTATCGCTGCTATTTTTTCATGACGTGAAACTGTGGAATATTGTCGATGTTCCTGGGGGTTCCGAAAATATTCAGACAGCCTTGGATAAGTTTTCGGACTCGTCTAATTTATGGTTACTGCTATAAATCAGGCAAAGTGCCCGTTCTTCGAATTGGAGGAAGTTGTCCTCCTGCGAATTACTTAGTCAGTGGGGTCGCACTTCCCCGTGAATCTAGCCAGGTCAATCTAGGCGTCGTACACTCTTCGACTTTACATTCCGGCGACAACTGGAAGAAGGCATTTTGTGGTTAATACGCCGTTCTTTCGGAATCTTGACGGGCGGCATCTGTGCAAGACTATTCTCGGCTTTCGTTTAGCCTCATCTGGAATACTGCGTTCAGGCTTGTCTGACCTGCCACATCCGGGACAAAATGGAGCTAGAGTGGGTTTTAGGGTGAGTAATAGGTTAGTCGAGGGATTACGGGGACAGACGTACCCCGAGCGTCTAAATAGTTTGGTAATGCATTCAATGCACTACCGAAAGCTTAGAGGAGACCTAATCCTAACCTACCGTATCTTAACTGGGAAGGTTGGTCCAGATTTATCTTGGCTAATCAGTCCCGATAGATTGCCTGTTCTACGCGCTCATACATGAAGCTGGAAAAATCGCGGTCCGATCGGATTAGGGCGGAAATCCGGCTGTCACGCCGAGTCATCGAGCGCAGGAACATGCTTACAGAAATTTTCATCAGGGAATCTACGGTTAAAGGGTTTGAGAGGAAACTTGACGCTCTTGTGTGTTAACACGAAACCTTTCCCTTTACCTGAGTAACTCGCAGCTTCATACTTTGATTTTCTTTTCTTTAGTTTACTTCATACATTGGTATTATCATCTTTGGCTTGGGCAACCGGGTAGTATCACGCCCTCTTGCAAAACCATGGACTGTATTACAACTTGCTCATCAGCTGCTGTTTCTGCTAGTCACTTTCACGCGAATTCATCACACGCCAATTGTTTGTTTGCTAACAATCCTCACTTTCCGTTACCCGATTCATGTGTTCAACAATCTGGCTGCGATTCCGGTTGCTCCGCAGATCAAGGAGTTCAACCTATGGCTCTCCTTCGTCACCGATCCTCGTTCCGTCTGGCGTGCTTCAACGTTCGGACACTCATGCAGATTGGACAGCAAGCCGGTCTAGCGCGCACCCTAGATTCCCTAGACATTGATGTCTGCTGCCTTTCAGAAACCCGATTGCAAGATCCCAGCACTGTGCTTACATTGACATCCCCCACTGACCACGAAGCCAGATACACCTGCGTCTTACTGGAGATACAGAAGCAGCCTCAGCGGGTCTGGCTGGTGTAGGCATAGCACTAAGTGACAAGGCCGAGGTGGCACTACTGGACTGGTTCCCTATTAACAACCGACTATGTGCAGTTCGGGTTCGGGGTTCATGTAGAATCAACATGCCCCGCGAAGAGAGACGCAACTTGTTTGTGATCTCCGTGTACGCTCCAACTGACTGCAGTGGCGATTCGGTCAAGGACGAATTCTACCGGGATCTACAACAGATCTTGACTAATGCTAAAAAGTCGGATGTCGTTATCCTTGCTGGAGGTTTTAATGCACGGGTTGGCCGCCTGTTACCATACGTACGCCACCTTGGTAGTCACTCGCTGGATGAGAACCGCTCTGATAACGGAGAGAGACTTCTCACATTGTGCGAAGACAACCGTCTGTTTCTTTCGAGCACTAACTTCAGGCGTACGAAGAAGCGTTCCGCAACGTGGCGTCCCCCTTCTTCAACACAACCGTGGTCTTAAATCAATCACATTGCAATTAGCTTCAGATGGCGCGGCAGCGTACTGGACTGCATGTCCTTTTGGTCCACCTTCGTTGACTCAGATCATGCTCTGGTCTGCGCGAAAATCTGTATGGGCTTTGAAGGATCCCGAAACACGAAGCACCGCAAGATTGATGTAAACAGATTAACTGATTCCTCTGTCCAGGCGAGCTATCAGCCTTCACTGGCAAATGCACTCAGTTGCAATGCACTGCAAGAAATGGAACAACACTGGACTTGTATACGGAAAGCGATGACCATTTCCAGGCAGTCATTCTGCGGCCTAACTCGAAGCCCCTTGAAGGTTTGGATCTTTGCTCGTTCTCTGGAGCTGTTCGAACACCGCAATGATATCCCCGCGAAATCAGATTGCAATAAGCGGCGCCGTTCTGCCAACCGGCTGCTCAAGCAAAGCCTACGCGAGGATCGCGAGGCACGGTGGTCTGAGCGTGCTTTAGAGATGGAGACCGCTGCCCTCTCTGGCAACACTCGCAGGCTTTTCCAACTCATTCGATCCACGGGCCTCAGGAAGCCTGGTGTCAGTGAGGTCATTTGTGAGGTGGATGCGTCTCGGATCACCAACCAACAGAGGTGTATGGACCGCTGGGCGGAGCACTTTCACTCACAGTTCAACTGGCCTCCACCATCCATCAGCACATGCAGTACACTTTGTTGTCCACCCTGGCTCGTCCCACTGAATCCACCCAGCGAAGCGGAAGTCTGCCTCGAGGTTCGACGCTTGAAGCGGTTCAAGGCTGCCGGCTTAGACGGACTTCCTCCGGAACTATTCAAGCACGGCGGTGTGGCGACCATTAACCAGCTGACCTCGCTGTTCACAAAAATTTGGCATGAAGAGAAAGTGCCTTCCTCTTGGAGTGAATCAGTTATTGTCCCGATTTTCAAGAAAGGCGCTCGCACTTCATGTGGAAATCATCGCGGGATTAGTCTTATTTCAGTTGCCTGTATGCTATTGGCATCCATTCTGCTTCGCAGGCTATCCCCAGTACGTGAATCATACTACCATAAGGAACAAGTTGGTTTCTGTCCTGGCCGCGGATGCGTGGATCAAATATTCACGCTCCGCCAGCTCCTCGAACATCTCCACATTTATCACAGGCCCACTATCATTGCATTCCTAGACATACGTGCCGCTTTTGACTCCGTTGGTCGACCTGCTTTATGGCGTTGCTTACTAAAGAACGGGGTGCCAGAGAAATATACCGCCATCTTACGAGCACTTTACCTTCATACATCCGGCAGAGTGACAGTCTATGGCAAGTTTTCCTCGCAATTCGCTGTCAACAGCGGTGTGCGACAGGGCTGCCCCATGTCCCCATTCCTCTTCAACTTTGCAATCGAAGACGTTCTGTCGAATGCTCTAGAAAGTTTCCAACACTTTGGCTTAGCGCTTCTACCAAGTGAGCGCGCGACTGTCTTAGATTATGCTGATGATATCGCCTTACTTGGTGCCGATTCTCAGAGTATGCAACTCATTCTGGATCATTTGGTGGTTGAAGCATCTAAGTATGGCATGAGCTTCGCCCCATAGAAGTGTCAAGTACTGCCCAAGGATTGGCTTTCACCTGCTCCCGTACTCACTCTCCAAAGTGCACAACTTGATCAGGTATATAGTTTCATCTACCTTGGGAGCTGTGTTTCTGCTGACGGCACTATCAACAAAGAAGTTTCTCTTCGTATCGCTAAAGCTCGATCAGCATTTGTCAATCTGAGGCACTTGTGGCATCGTCGCGACGTCTCATTCTCACTAAAGGGCTGCGTTTACAGCGCATCAGTTCGCTCAGTATTGTTGTATGGGTGCGAGTCCTGGCCGATTCGCGTGAAAGACATGCGTCGTCTTTCTGCCTTCGATAACGGTTGCTTAAGGAGGATCGCTCGTGTCTGGTGGCATCATCGAATTAATAGTAATGACGTTCGACGTCGCATCTTGGGGAATGTGAGTATTCCCTTCAACAAACTGGTTTTGTTGCACCAGTTGAGATGGTTCGGTCACGTCCTACGCTTGGCACCTGAGCGTCTACCGCGTCGCGCTCTATTCGCTCGTCAAGGACCTGGCTGGAGGCGACCGCGTGGTGGTCAGCCGTCCACTTGGCGGCAGCACATGAAATCGCTGACGTCGTGTCTAGCCGCTGTAGGATCCGTACGTCTTCCAAGATGGGGACCCAAAGATGAGGAGTGCCAATGGCTTAGCACTCTTGAAGATATGGCCCGCAACCGGAATCTGTGGAAGAATTGTGTACAGTATTGTATTGATTCACATGTTTAATACTACAAACATTAAAATGACAAAAAAGAGAAAAATGGGCGTGTGAAAAACAAACTAAAAATGTTTTGTTCTACTTTTTGTCAAAATGTTCCATTCTTCCTGCGGCATATTAGTTGAAGTGTGTTTCTCACCTTCAACTAGCATGCCACGATGATTATGACGTGATGTATCTTGTGTATCTGCTGATCTCCATGGCTTTATGTTGGCTCTGTGTCTAGTTGATTGACTGTTGAGATTACAGCTTACATTATCCTCCTACTGTAAGTGAACTACCATATGCTGTACCCTCGATTTCTCTTCCTAAGGTTTGCTTACTTCATGTGACTGCTACAGCAGGGACTGCTAGGGCAGAAAAAGTGGTCATTAGCTGGTTGGCCAGGGTGCGATACGGGTGTTCCGTATTCGATCCATCAGGCACTCTGAGCACTTCATGAATTCCTGGCTCAACGATCCACTCAAGATGAGGCACTCACGGGATTCTCTTATCGTTCCAGTCCCACCCGAACTTAAACGTAAAGGAGTGTTCAACTCCCAGTCGCCAGATATCTCCCGAGTCGATTGAGCATGCCAATTTATGTGTACCTAGAGAAAACCATAAATAAACAATCTTTCATAACTGAGCGGAAAGATGAGTCCTCTCATTCTGCTGAGTGTAAACATTCCTTTGTCTTGATATACCTCTGTATCGCCCTCCACTGCCGTTTGTTTCAACCGAATGATGTCAGGTTTCACTTCTCAGTATGTCAGCTGGACTCCCCCCGCTTTGTACATTTTTAGTATGACGAAGAACTCTCCAACCCAATTCATCTGGCGGCAGCAAAAGACGAGAAGTGTTGCAAATTTTTAGCACAGCGAGGTAAGACTTATCAAAGATACAAGCAATGCTGCCCAAATGTTGTTATTGTGCTCCATCTTTGCGGTATCATCACTTATTCCTGTAAGTTGACAACAGGAGCGCTGCAGTTAACTAAGTGATTCTGTTCTGGGATCTTAGTGTGTTACCATGATTGGTACGAAGGTATTGCCATCTTTTGGGTTGCGCCATAGTAGGAACTGTCGTGGTTCCACTGTTAAGCGACGCAGAAAATTTTAGATCCAATGCAGGGTACACAAAATGTCCCGTCACAAAAACAGGCCCACTGATGTGGAAGGTTTCGGTGTCACTCTCTCCGTACGGTCGGAGAACTGTGTTGATGGACAAAAGTCCTCCGCAGGGAAACCATGAAGCAGCGGCTTATCATCTGTATCCATTAGGCACAAAGCTGAAGATGTGCTGGCTGACCGAGGTAGCGTCTCTTCGGCTTTCATGCTCTGCTCCGTGGTTAGAGGCTGACATAGCCTTGCCAAATATCTAGCAAGTTCATGGGTCGGGGAGCCTATACCGTCGACTATGGGCCGTACGGGGACTTCGGGTTTGTGAACTTTTGGCAAGCCATAAACCACGGAGGTAAAGTCGATTTCGGGTATAGACTGTACCACTTGCCTGCCCCTAATCGTCCTTCACAGTTCTTAAATAGTTAGCAACCTCCGTTTTACTCTTGTTCATTACTGACGCCACGGTCTTATCAACAACTACTCTATATTGGCCCGTCTCCAAATGTTTCCCATTTTTCTATGTATTCTGATCTATTCATTACAACCAAAATTTTTCCCTTGTCAGCCTAACAGGGCAAACGAGTACATTCGTGAAAATCTCTTATGGGTTCGCTCAAAAGATAGCAAGTCCCAAAATTAAGTCACATGGGTTGATGGTCAGCTTCGATGTCCCATCACTTTTCACAAATGTACCCAAAGAAGAGGCGCTATGAATAGCAAGACGTTGTCTAAATTAAGACATCACTCCGAGTGATGGACGAAACTAACGGTTAACAAGATAATCGAAGGTATGACTGTGTGTCTTAACATGTCCTACTTCCTTCTTCAGTCGAAGCTTTACAGTCAAGAACAAGCTCTCACCATGGGATTGCCAATATCCCCTGTACTGGCGAACCTGTATATGGAGGACTTCGAGAACAGCATGTTAACAAACCCTATTAACTCGCCAAAAGTTTGGTGGCGTTATGTAGACGACAATTTTGCACTTGTTAAACGGAATAAGAAGGACGAGTTGCTTCATCACTTACACTCCATTGATGAGAGAATACAGTTGACTATTGAGTTGAAATCTTGTAGCGGCACAATACCATTTCTTGACTATCTGGTTCTCAGGAATGGGGGAAATTTAAAGACGACAATATATCGCAAGCCAACGGATACTGACGGCGTACTCCATTACACTTCGGGTTATCCAAAAATGGTTTACGCTGGGATAGCCTCAGCGTTGTTCTACAGGGCATAAAACGTGTACATGATGGAGGAGGACAAAAAGGCTGAGCGGAAAGTGGCAATGAGTAAACTATTAGAAAGTGGTTACCCACGGCGGCTAGTCAAACGCCAATTGCATAAAGTGCTAAGCCTGCAGTCAATACCCACAACCGAGTGGATAGGGACGGTAAGAATTCCGTACAAGCAAGGCACCTCGGGGGCAATTCGATGGGTACTAAACAAGGTAGGTATACGAGTGATCTTTCAGCGAGCTCGAACGTTACGTTCGGCGCGGGTACACCTGAAGGACCCCATTCCCAAGGATAGGAGGAATAACTGTGTTTATAAAATTAAATGTAAGGACTGTGCACATGTGTACATAGGCCAAACAGCGAGAGAATTACGCACACGAATTTCGGAGCATAGGAGGCGCATTTCATGACCACCAAGAAACGAGTTTGAATACCAGACAATAGTAAGAGACTCGGCCGTGGTTGTGCATGCATTAGACACGGGTCACCAGATAGACTTGGAAAATGTACTGGTCATTGGGAGGGGTATACGATCAACCCTTCAGCGGTTGATTAGCGAGGCGGGGAAAATTGCCAAATCTGACGACTGCGTGAATAGCATGGAGGGAGTATAACTGCCTAATGCGTAGCGAGCGATCTTAAGCCAACCAGTCTGACGAGCATCGGTACGTGGATCAGATTGGAGAGTGGAAACCGACTCCCATTGTCGACACTGTGGGCTTAACCGTCAATGGCATGACGCACAAAGGAACACCTGGACTATTCCCACTGTGATTGAACCACCTGAGATGACATAACGAACTGTTACTGTAATGACACCATGGTTCAAGTCTCGGGTAACGCGGTTATCGCCCCTGTTCGCTATAAAATCCCACCCCAATTGCACACTGATTATCCTGGTCTGACGGAGCCCTTGTGTCAAGGGCGATAAGTTACCAAACTACTATATCAACCGATTGTTTCCAAACCTCTCTGATAGTTCAGTATCCTCAGAGTTCATAGACATCTGGTTTGACTTCATACGTTGGCTCTGATTTTAAGGGCCCGATGTTTGTAGCTTATGACATAAAGTCAAGTTAGCGTTCAAGAACACGAGAACATAAGTGAACAATTGTTTTCGATGATTCATCTTCAGACCATTACAATCATATCAAAGGGTAGACGGAAAAAGTAAAATCGCCCCGTTGGCTCAAATAACACTGTTCATTTGCGGTTCAGTGTGGGAGGCTAAAAGTCGACCTTTGACCTAACAAGTAGATTGCATAGTACCGAGCTTGATCTGTAGCAGTCGATCTCAGCATCGTTCGTTCTTTCTGGTCAGGGAAGCCGAAGGGCATAAAGAAGGTTGACGCAACCGAATGCAAATCGATTAAGCTGTCGCGAGTGCACGGAGGTTCAGACCTCTAAAGTGATGCTGGAGGACCCTGCAAATTATTCTGAAGACACGCTTTAGATCAACTTGGTGCCCGGTGTCGACAATATGGGCCAAAACGGCGCTGTTAATGGTCCCAGTTCCTCCTTGACGCAACCAGCGTGGATAGTGCTGCTTCACGCGTTTGGACAAGTGCCTTTCCATTCGACCGATTTAAGTGGCGCCACAAGCGCACTTGGACTGATACATAACCATAGACGAGGACAGCGTTGGCAGCATATCGTTACTGCTTGGACAAACAGGTGCTTCAGTAAGAAATGTGCACTTTGGCCTGGCTGCTGCCGCTGAAAGATGTTTGCTTAGGCGCTCAAAAGCGGCATCCCCTTTGAAGGGTAATCTCATAAATAGCTCCTTCGCCGTGGTTAAAACTTGTATGGGCTTGTGTATTTCTTCAAAATTCCTTGCAATAATTCTATCATGGTAGCCAGTCTCGCACAGCGTATTCTTTACAAAGACAGTTCATCATCTAGAGTGTCCTGTGAGCAAATTCTACGTGCTCTTGTGGTAAGGCAGCGGATTGATGATAGTGATGTTGATGTTCCAGCTGTACGCTGTAACGGTGCTTCGCTGCCGCGCGACCACCACTAGTCACGCACTGAGTATAAAGCGAGGACGCCGTCCCTACGAGGATTCGAACTGGGGACCTTATGGTTGCAAACCAGACGCGCGGACCACATGGCCACCGGCCGGGAGAAACTGAAAATTCGTGTACCGACCAATCCACTTATCTTTTCTGTCAATTTCGCTGGATGGAGATGTCTGGACACTTAGTTAACAAGAAATCAAGATACAGAAGCCGATTGCATGTTCCTGCTTCGTAGGTAAATGGCAGCGCTGCGTGGGCTCGGTTTACATATATATATATATATATATATATATATATATATATATATATATATGCAGCGGCTTACGAAAAGGTATGGAGCCATCAAAAACCATGGAACTCAAAGGATGGTACAGATATCGTTAAAAAATACACAACACAACACGGATGAGTCCATGGTTTCGTAAGAGGGCGAGGTACTACCGGGTTGCCCAAGCCGAAGTAGGGTGTTGACCTAGTGGACATCACCACTAGCCTTTGGCCGAATGGCCTGCCCGAAAGATAGCGGAGCGAATTCACGGAATCCCGCCCATTGGGAGCTGGTGACTGATTGTCTAGTTCATACACCTTTGTTTGTTTGCCAAACAGGGGTCCAATATTCCCCACAATTTCAGAATTAATTTGCTGGAATACAATGCTTCGCCAGTATGAAGCAAGGGTTAGTGACTTTATTTAGTGGCGAATCACATCTGTCAAATCAGTGTTATTAAACGGACATATGTGACATTTTAAAGAGATAGCTTGCCAGGGGAAAACCCACTACAGTCTGGAACACTGCCGCCGAACGATTTGCTGGAACCGAATAATCCCGAACCACCGTGCTGGCACCACGAGGAGGTTGTTCGGCAAGCCAGCTCGGTTTAACCGCTCGAGGACGTCATCTAGATTGATGCATTTATCCAGCATTACAAATATATCAGCCAGATAACGGTGGTAGCAGTCAAAAGTGTTTATCTCGTTTGCAATTTGGTTCGCTCCAATTTGGCCATGAATATGACTGCGAACGACGGACTGAGGTGGATCTCATGGCTACACAGTCCGTTTGCCGGTAAACTTTACCATTAAATAAGAATTGCACATTCCATGTGCACCGCAGCAATAAGCTTCTTAGCGCAAGCACAGGTATAAAAATTTTCATTTCCGACTCCGTTATGTGCTCGCAAATGTAATCGATGGTTTTGATCATTGGGATGTTAGTGAAAAGCGAGACAACGTCAAATCAGAGCATCACTTTCCTATTAATCTTGGTCTCTTTGATGCTCTCGGCGAACTGAAAACTATCACGTAGGCTGGAAGTCACAAGTTGTTGTCTCAACAGCTCAAGGATTTCTACAAGCCAATGGGCAACCGCGTGAAAGGGGTTAACCATTGACAGAATAGGAAGAAGTGGGATGTCGGACTTATGGATTTTTGGCAAGCCATAAAGCCTCGGAACAATTTTGTCACAAGGTTTAAGACTGTCATACTATGCATTGGTAATGTACCCCTTGGCCAGAAGCTGTTGAAGGCTATTAGTGATCTGTCTTTGTCTGTTCCGTTTGGTCAACTTCCCTCGTGTCGCAGGAAAACTTCATCTTATCGTTCACAGTTGTTGGGAGTTTATCAATATAGTTCTTTTTGTCTAGTAACACAACCCAGGCACCTTCGTCCGGTTTGCGCAGGATGACATCCTCGTTTCGTTTAAGTTCTTTCAGCGCGTCTAGGTGCTTTCTTGTTAATGGACCACGATTATGGACATGATGGTTACGATATTGATAACAACAATATACCAAGAAGCACTTAGATCGTTCGAGATCCACATTACGCTTAGTTGTTAACCCTTTCGTTTAGTCATATAAGTTTTTGAATTACAGCAAATAATGATGTTGGTTGTCTATACGTCTAGGAACACAGAATTTTAATTCAGCCAAACCATCATAATCATTCCCAATCAGCAGGCTTAAGCTAGCCCAGAAAAGCACCAGACGCCGGCGTCTCGATCTTCTGGGTCTCGTCAGTGGTGCGGACACCTGCCGGTTTCCGCCCTCATGACTTCAGGATGCCAGCAGCTAGTGCCACTTAACCATGGGTGACAACCACGGACCTGCCACGGAGAGCCTAACTCGTGAGGCTAGCCATTGTCCTCTGCATAGTTCGTAACTGGCATGGCAGTGAAAGATGAGCCGGTCTATATCATAGTCAACTGTCAATCATCCAGATCCTTGGCTGTCACCCATGGCGAAGTGACACTATCTGCTGGCATCCTGAAGTCATGAGGGCGGAAACCGGCAGGGCTCCGCTGGGATGCGCACCACTGACGAGACCCAGAAGATGGAAATGCCGACGTCTGGTGCTTTTCCAGACTAGTCTAAGCCTGCTGATTGTGAGTGACAATGAATTAGCTTGATTATACCAAATCCTCACCACTACTCATTAGTTATACAAAGTTTTCAACCAAACAGGAGAACTTCGATTAAACTTTGTCCAGTTTCATGCTAAAAATGTTGTGCACGTACCTTTCGGCCTGTTCGGTCTCGTGTTCACGACTTCCAAATGGGAATTCTCAAGTTGCTTTAAGTATTCAAGTTAGAGTTTTGTCATTACTCCTGACTTTCATTCACAAAACAAGCAACGTAACGTCTTATTTTTCTTCTCACTAGGATGCCGTGTTAAGGTGAAGAATAAATTTGGTCAAACACCACGAATGATTGCTGTTGCGCAGGACCAAAAGGCCTGTCTGAAAGTGCTGCGCAGACTAGACCGCAACGAAGCTAATACACCGAAGCGTGCGGAACCATGGGCGCTTCGCTTGTATGACTGGTGCACGACATATACAGCTGTACTAAGGGAACGATTCACGCAGCTGGGCGAATACTTGGCCGTCGAAGCGCAGAGGGCTAGCAGAATGCAGGCTGATGTAGCAAAGGGGAACGCCGAGCAGGAAGAAGGGAGCCAACCTGCTGTAGAGTCATCTGGTCTCCAAGGTGGCAACCAAAGCGTCGAGCGTGGCAGACGAAGCAGATCAAAACGTGATGGAAGTGTTCGAAGCTCAAACAGCACTGTGAAGCCGGTGGTGCGACTTCCAGCGGTGGAGTTTGAAAGCGTGTTACAGTCCTTGTCTGCCCCGTACGATGACACAATCTTACACACACTTGTTTCCCTTCATCAACGAGACGCTGATAACTGTATCGATTGGCGAGAATTTCTCTCCGGGACAAAGTACGTCAACAAGGCCTATCGTATGGCGGCTTACGAGAAGGGAGTCAAAAAGTCAAAAGCCAAAAAAGGTAAACCATTCCACTGTTTTCAGCGCGGAAGATGTACATTTATGTTGATGCGTAGTGATGGAGGTTTAATCCGATTATCACCATAGGTATGGTGTCCGCTGTCCATGTACTGTCGCGTTATCCAAACACACGAGGATGGTCAAAGCTAGATTTCTCTCAAAGATCTACCTAGACGGTGCACTATGCCCAGTCTTAACCACTGTATCGATAGCTCAAACTTATTTGTTCGAAGTGAATAACAGGTAGAAGGAAGCAGACTAGCTATGAGATGAGCTGAGTTAAGTACGAAAAGGAGACATTAGCTGGTAGGAATACTATCCTCCATTCATCCTAGGATGGCCCTAACTAGCTTACAATAAATCCTCTCATCCGAGGTTCACATAAGCCTGGTAAAGTAACAATCAGTCGTTCGGATAATCTATCTGAGGAATCTAAAATTTTGGTCACCACTGAGTTTAACACACTATACGAGGGTCATCAGATCGATCCCGTAAGCCCCACCAATGGAAAACCGTATCAGCCAAGAAGCCTCTATAGTTGTGTTATTTGGAAAGACGCTGCCACCTGCGACTTAAACGAAAGCAGGACTTTGTTCCCATATTGGTTGGTAACTAATTTCGATTGAAAGTTTCGTCACAAGTAAAGGTCACTACTACTGCTACTACTACTATTACCACGACTATTACTACTACTACTACTACTACCTACTACTACCCAATACTACCTAATGCTACCTACTACTACTACTGCTACTACTACTACTACTATTACTACTACCTACTACTACTACTACTACTACTAAATAATAAGTTGTCATCTCGGCCAGTGAAAGACCATCTGTAGTCGAGTTACCCAACTTACTGACCAACGCCTAATCTGTGGCACCAACATTTAGGCTTATTGCACAATAAGCAATAGGTTAGCATCCGAAGACCGGTCAGAACCACGACATCGCACTTATAATCTACACAGCTGTTCAGAATTTGTAGCTACTTTTCACAGGAATAATCAGCTATCTGAATGATAGTGGGGTAGTGCAAGCCGTTACTGTCACCGTGCTTCAGTATGATGCGCCTCGCCCGTCACCCAAACTCCGTACCCTACGGAAAACCACGGTTACTCCAGGTTACGCTTAAGTCAGGAGATGACGCACAGGCAGTCCCCTTGTCAACTACTATCCTCCAAACCCCCCCATTACTGCTTGTATTTGACCGGATGTCCCTTGGAGCGAAAGTCAGGAAGGTAAACAAAACCCGGTTGAATTCCGTAAATAAAAGGATTTAAAAGCGATCCCTGTTCATGGTGTCCCCCAGATTCAGATTTCAAGCGAGCTAGAGGCCAAATCACATGATTGATATGAATGACGCTTCATTCGTGAAGTTTGTCACACTAGAAAACATTACTGTCAATTCGACATTAAGATTACCGTTATCACCCAACTGAAATGTGAGTGGTCCTCGGATGATGAAAGTAACCTTGTAACCCTACACGGTGCGGAAAAGGTGAACGAGATGTGGCTTAAGATGCGCAAAGTACTACCGCCCGAAATATGTATGAATAGACACGGCAGCGCTGAACACTCAGGTCACATGTTTAACCCTGTCAGCAGGCAGCTCTGAAATGGGATATTGTCAAAACTCCCTGACAGTTAAAGTAAGATAAGGTTATCGACCCAACGTTGACACTGAGTATTCGGCACACCAACCTGCCATGGACGCGGCGGATCAGCAAAAGCGGCTAGAAGCCGACCCTAGCGGGGTTGGCATGATTCCTCTACAAAACGGTCGACCATGCAGAGCAGGCAGGGTAATCCTATATTACCGATCTGACCTGCATATTGATAGTATCGACGATCCAGCAACGCAAGTAGTCCATCTTCTCTGGTGCCGCTTGCACCTGGAACTTTGTGATGTGTTTAATAACACTATTTTACGGCCCTGCAATGTCCATCCTGGAAATGGACCACCGCCTAGCACCTGCACTGTAGCAAATCCTAGCATGGTCACACAGCCAGGTAGTTCTGGTGGGGGATTTCAACCTACACGCAATAGGTGCCCGCTTCTCCCAGAGAACTATTCTAGGCGGACTTGCAAAGCGTGCCGCTATACAACCATGTCACCTCTCTCACGAGGTACAGAACTGGCGACGAACCATCTGTTTTAGACCTTGCGTTCACCAACGAAGAACTAATGATCGATACAGTAAACGTAGGTTCATGGTTTGGCCGTAGTGGTCGTGCGACCCTTCTCATCTGTTACATCTTGTAAGCAGAATCCATCTACGAAGACAACGAGGAGCCCACGTCTTCATCCAGTACGATATTGATGGAGACTCCAGTAGGCATCAGCGACCATGTAGTAATAGTGTTTAACTATACTTGTTATGCAAAGTATCCATTTGAACACTCGGAGCTAACTCAGACAATCTCACGCTACCACCTATCGAAAGAACTCGAGGCATCCGCTTAGGAAGTCTCGAACATCAGTCCCCTTGAAAATGTGTGGTCAATGTTCGTCGAAAGACTCAGTGAGATGGTCAACAGACCATCAGAGACCAAGCCGCTTCATCCCGCAAAAGTGCCTTCACTTCTAAGGTGCAGGACTCGAAAATGCATGGGGATAAGGGATGCAGCACGGCGTGTCTACAAGGTTAACGCTGACTCAGAGACTTGGGACAATTTCCTTCCCCATAGCAACCATTGCCCTGCACTTGTCCATGAGAACAAAGTAACTTAACAAATGTGTCTAGCCAAAAATTTCAGGCAAACAACAAACTACCGTATAGGTATGTCAACAGCATGGCATCCATTCACTTTTCATAGCAGGCGGTAGAGTACAAAGCACTGAAGCAGCAGCTAATGCCTTGCGGCTAGAATACGTCCCAATTTTCGAACTTGCAGCCTCTACCTGTCCCATAACGTCAAGCACATTACCGACTCCATTGTTTACACATGTAATTTTCAATCCATTAATTGTGCTAAGGAAGTTACTCTCACTGCGCGATCATAGCTCTCTGGGAGCAGACAACATCCGCCCGAAGGCACTGAAGCCTGCAGCCAACAAGCTAGCTGAACCACTGTCACAGTTCTTCCAAAGATGCTTCGATGAACAGCAAGTCCCCACCATGTGGAAGCGTGGCATTATCACCACAATTTTTAAAGGCGGTAGCCGTTCATATCCTGCAAACTACGGCCCTGACTCTCCTCCCTGTGCTTTCGAAGGTGATGGGATCGGTCGTCGCTGACGCCTTAATGCACCACCTGGAAAATGCAACGTGTTAGCACCGGATCAGCATGGCTTTCCTCAACACTGGTCATGCACCACCGACCTGCTAATGACACGAGGTAGTTGGACGGAAGTGGCTGATGATGGGGTCGGAGTTCAGGCCATCTGTTTGAACTTCTCCAAAGCTTTCGACCGCCTGGATCACCGCATCCTACTTCATAGGCTACAGAGCTACGGAACCGGATAACTTGTTCTTGATTGGATTGGCAACCTTCTTCACCAACGGAGGCTTCAAGTGCGTGTTATGGGACCACTCTCTAACCCGGCTGTGGTGGAATGTGGTGTCCCACGTGGCTCAATACTGGGACCGCGCTTATTCCTAGTGTTAATCAACGACCTGGAGTTATCTCCCCAAATTTCCTGCTTTTCGCCGATGATGTCAAGATATGAAGATCACGATCTACTCCAGCATGACCTAGACTGCATCTATGAGTGGTCAACGAGGAAGCTGCTTCAGTGGAACACAGCTAAGTACAAGGTGAGCCAGTTGCGTCATCAGTGGGTGATCGTTTACACGCATGACCACACCTTGCAAATGCCTCTCAGGACCGTGACTTGGCTGTACTGATACAGGAAGAGCTCGAATGCTCAAAACAAGCAGAGAAGGCGTTGAGAACCGGTAATCAACATTTCGGCTTTCTTCGCAGAGCGTTCGGTCGGTTTGAACCCTCAATGTTCCCCCAAATGCATAAAGCCTACATGCAACCGTACCTGGGATATGCTATCCAGGAGTGGTAGAAACAGGATCTCGTTGCTCTCGAGACTCCTCAACGAAGAGCAAACAAGCACGTCAGAGGCCTCTTTTCATCTGCCCTATCACCTTAGGCTGAAATCTCTAAGAATGTATAGCAGTTTATGTCGGCGTTTGCAGAGGGATCTCATAATGTTTTATCAGATGCTGTAGAACCCAAACCACATTTGCCTCCTGCTGCTGGAATAGAACCACGATACTAACCTAAGTGGTCATCCTATGAAACTACCAACAGATCATAGTCGGCATGAATGCCTTAAAAATCTCTTTTCCCTCCGAGCCTAGGAACGCTCACCAAATTATGTCATCTCTGCCCCCAATCTGGTTATGTTTAAAAAACGACGTCGTTGCGTTGTCTCATTTGCATTTTATTTTTTAACTTGTCAGCCAGGGGGCTACAAAACACAATTAAACGGTGTCTTAACAAACTCCTACCAATGGATTTAAAATTTTAATATGCGAACATCTCCGCTATTCTACATAAGTATATGATGAGTCCACCGAGACGCTTTTCACTTTATCATGAATTTTCTCAATAATTTCCATCCCACGGGCATTGTGTAGCACTGTTTTTTTATCCGTGCCATTATTGCATCCTGTCCGACCTCGCTCAAGGAACCATCTGTTCCTTCCTAGCTCAGCAGCCCTGCGATGTCGCCTGGATGGAGTTTGTCAACCATTTCACCTGACTAGTTGCAAATGCGTTGGAATCTTCCGTCCGAATTAAACCAAGTGTTTCCTGGTGAGCCGCGCTAGAAAATGCATGACCATAATGATTTCAGCCTGACGGGCTTATAAAGCCTGTCCGAGCGTTCAGGCATGGGATGCCTACATAACTCAACGAAACCATCGCGTCAAGTTGGTCCGTGAAGACAAACCCCAGCACCAAGAAATTTGTCTGGGAAATGCAATGCTTTAATTAAGATGCTGTACAAGCACGTCAACAAGCGCCGCAGAGTGCAGCG